GATACGAGTTAATTATAGTTTAGAAAGGCAGAGAAAGTGATTCTATTTGCTGTTTATTACCAGATTATGAAGTTTCCCTCACGAACAGAGACTCAAATGAAGTCAGAGTGAGGAACAGTAACAGGTGCTACGAATCTATGGTTAAGAGAATTTCAACTAATTGACCTTTGGGGACAAACCTCCAGATGTGCTGCTGCAGTTATGCCCAAAAAAGAACTTCCAACCGCGGACGGCACGTCAGGGCACTGACAGGAGAGCTCGCGTTATTACAGAATAATATAAATGATTGGATGACCAGAAGTTCCTTTATTCCATCTTTTAATACTCTGAGTTTAAATTTCTGTTAATTTGCTGTCATGTACTTGAGTGTTAAAACAACACGTTTGGAACATCTGTCCAGTTGAAGCGCGCCTCACACAGATGTCGACAACTGGATTTAGTGAAAACTAACAAACTGGAAGATTAGTTGTAGTTATATAATTAGTTGATTTGATCTGATATTTAATTATGTGTCATTATAAAAGGTAAAATACATTTATTACCTCCTTATGTTTTTGTCTGTGTTTCAAGTTCAAATCTCTGAGGTCACTGGACCCCACTTTAACATATTTGCTGGATTTATTTTCTTTCTGTCTCCCTCTATCGCTCCTCTATATCTTCTTCTCCTTTCCACAATGCTCCTTTTCTCTCGCTCCGTTTCTCTGATCTCTCAATGCGCAGACTTGCAGGACACGGAGGAGATAATTCATAACTCGGAGACCCCGATAACGGCTTTAAAAAGGGAGAGTTGGTTGCAGCACAATGTCTGGGCCCATTTAAGAGCCTGTAAATGATGCACAGGGCGACCTCTCAACTCTGCCGACCTTTGACAGCGGGGAGACGTTTTCAGAGATTATCTTCTCCACTCTGCTCTTTCCACGTGGGTGAAAGACGAGAGGAGTGTGCACGCTCGCATTGTGTGTGTGTGTGTGTGTGTGTGTGTGTGTTGAACACCAGTGATTCACAGCTGAGGACACACTCTCACAGAGACTTGGGGGCGCAGTCAGTCATGCTAAGCCCCGCGAAGGAACGGTGAAGCCTGTTATTTATCAGCGTTGTGAGGTTTCACCACAGGAAAATGTGCAGAGATTCAAACCTCAGAAGACAAACGGCAGAATGATATTTCAAATAAGAAATGTCATGTGGAAAAAAACAATAAACACTGAGAGTTTTTAGTTTAGATTTCTGTTTTCTTTTAATTCTACTGGTGGATTCGACTGTTGAAGGTGACGTCAGCTGATTTACTGTGAATATAAACTCGAGAGTTTCCCCAGATTTGGTTTGAGAGAAATCATTGACTGTAAATAAAGATGGACGACATGACACCTCCCAAAAGTGAAGTAAAGCCATCTTGATCTCCCCCTGGTGGCCGGCAGCAGAATAGGTCATAAAACCACCTCCTCCATGTTAATGGATGGGCCCAAAATGCAAAGTCAAAGAACACAGATTGTTTCTGTCATTTTAGATCAGGGTTAGAAATAAAGATATTTTGATATATAAAAAAAGTAGGTAGTTCCAAAAGAACAATTGTATTGTCAAACAATATAGTGACTGTTCACACTGGAGGTTACCCATCAGCCCCTCCGGGCTGTTTTCATCGGGAACATCTGTTCTGTGCATTGTGCGACAAACAATTCATGACAGAGCTTAAATTCAGTCAGACTATAAAAGTAAAAAGTACGCTCAGATTAAAAATCTTCATAAGTCGTTGCTGTTGTTTCACTTGTTTCTGTTTGATGTGAAGTTAACCTGATTATTTTATCAGCTAGTTAATGCTAACTAAAGATTTAAAACTCTAGAGTACGCAAAACTGTGTTCACTAATAGAACACAAACAGTTCTGGAGATGAATTACTGAGTTTAACAAATATGATGTAACATGTAAGATCTGTGTTAACAATGTAGATGATAAAGATATAACGGCTCAACAGTACAAGGTGAGTTAAAAGGAGCAGGATCCCCTCTCTCCATAATAATCTGCTCATTTAAGTATTTTTACAGGGCCAGTGGAGCAGCTGCACTTCTTCACTCTGAGACGGCAGAGTCCACTCACAGTGCCAGGATTGCACTCAGCAGACGTCCTCTATCCACTGCACCGTTTAATACGACTTCCCGGCCAGATTTACTGTGATGGCTTTTGAGGCAAAGAGGTATAATATGACAAAACATGGCCCCGTAACCCCGGGATATTCAACAAGGTTTAGTGGCCAGACCCATTTAGCCGGAGGATTGGCAAATATACTGCTCTCCTCCTTTCTCATGTACAGGATTTCAATAAAATGGGGCAATAAATCAGGATTGGATTCAAAGTTCTTTAAGGGGGTGGGGGGGGTGGGGCAGCAATGGAAAGGTCGTCGGTTTGAATCCCTGGACCAGTGAGTTTGTGTTCATTTCTTACAGATGGGTTAAATTTCCTCTTAGATGGTTTCTATAGACTGTGTATGAAAATCAAAGCTCAAGAATGTGAAGCCAAAGCATCTCAATCACCCGCTGGTGCCTGGCTGCACGAAACCTGCGTCGTCCACGTTGAAAAAAATCAAAGCACCCATTAAAGACATTTTCTCAAAAGTGGGTTTCTGTCATTTTCCGTGTTTCTGATCACACTGGCGTTTGATCAAGTCATCAGTTGCTATAGAAACAGGGTGAAACATCATGATTGACAGCTGAGACTTGAGTGCAATTGGTCGAATGGGCGTATCGGCAGGATCTGGCGACCACGCCTCCATCCCACGATCTCTGCCTCAGACTCTGGCGTCACTGCGGCAAGATGTTCGTACCGCAGGATATTTCAGCTTTCTTTCTCTTCGCGGGACGAAGAGGAGACATGTCGTCCATCTTTATTTTCAGTCTATAGACTAGACGATAATACTCAGCAGGTGATGTAGACGGACAGAATCATGACGTGGACATACGTGTATATGTCCGCAGTGATTTTTTTCCCCCGATGGTGCCCTCCTCTGAGGGGTTGTTTTAACATCGAATAACACACTGAGTGCTCGGGGACACGTTGATGGAATGTGAATGTCAGCGGTCTCTTTATTTACTCTCCATATAAAACACTGAGCAGTAATTAACAGCAGGTATCCTCCCCAGCCAGAGGGTAATTGACTGTTTCAAAAAGGCAGCACTTCATAACCCAGGATGTGTGTGTGTGTGTGAGAGAGAGAGAGAGAGAGAGAGAGAGAGAGAGAGAGAGGAGAGGCAGAAACTGTATGTGAGAGAGAAACTAAACGTGTGTGTGTTTGCATACGCGGGTGTATTAAAATTAACTCTTTTATATTCCTCCCCTCCCACACCGCTCCTCCCCTGCGCTCCCTTCCTCCCGATGAGGATAAGGGTCACCAGTGGTGGGCACAGCCACTCAAACGCTCCAGATTTCTTTATGAGCGCATTAACATTCAGGCGTATTCATTATCAGTAAGTGTAGTAAGATGGACCGAGCGGGGACCTTGTGCCACCACTGAAACGAGTGCCGTTAATTTTCGTACGTGAGCAGAATGTTTGTGAAAGATGGAGGGTTTAGAAAACAAACAAAAAAAACTCTTCCAACAGGCGAAGTCAAAGAACAACAACAATATTTATCTATTCATCACCTTTTCCAATATACACAATCACACCGATTTTAAAGTTTCAAACATTTGGCAGCTCTGTCCTTCAAATCCACATTAATAACCACAGCTGAATATTGAACCTGAGGTCACAGGAGGATGTATTTCAGACATCCCTCTCTCCAGCGGCCTTATGGGATATATTTGATGTGTGGGTAAAGAGCTTTGTTCTAAGTTAGAAAACGGTTACGATTCTTTCAAACAACACACCACAGTCTGAACATCGACTTCAAAACTCTAGAAATCACTTTACAGGAGAGCTGTCCTGACTCAAGATCTCATCCCACTCATTCATAAACATGCTTGAAGGCTCATCAGGTCTATTTTCTGCTCTTTTGGCCTTTGGGAAATACAACCAAACTTCTCTTCTTCCAGATTTATCTCCCACAGTCCACTACTAAAAGCCTTGTGAGGACATTTAAAGATTTAAATCCTCACATACGTGCCTCACATGCAGCCGCCGAGTTAATGAGGAGCCGAGTATCTGTGTTCAGCTGCTCCATGTTGACACGGAGCCGTTTCACAGGGAACATAAAGTTAACGAGTAGCTTGTTAGAACGTGTTAATTGGACTGAGTGTGTTCGCTTAATGATTTTTTGTTAATTACGATGAAGGGCTCTGCGCTAATTGTTATCTCTTAATTTATGTTAATTGGTGTGAACAGATCCTGTGTCTCAAGTTGTAATTACAACAATAACAACAACAGGAGCAGCAGAGACAACACGGTGTCGACCTCAGGATTAGAGTTCCTCTGAGACATGCTACCCCGATTAGCCATGAAGCTAATTGATGTTAATTAGCATGTTAACAGTCACAGGCCGGTTTAACAGCAGCGTCTGGCCTCGGCTCTTTATTTGTTTGCTTGACGTGCTGTGAACACACGAGTCCAGTAAAACAAATGTAACTCGTGATATTAAGTTAATGGATGATGTTCGTAGAGTTTTATGTGTCGAGTTATTTTACTGCTTCATGACAACACAATACTTTGATATAGATATTGTGAAAACTGTAAACCAAACGTTTTATTTACACATATGATAATTCATACATGTCAATACTGTGTCTAACAATGACATCATGTTAATGTAACAAACATAAATATAATAACGTCCAGTGGAAAAATCAATAACCTCAAATACACAATCAACGATGTGACACCAACAAATCAACAGTGTTTGTCCACTGGAATAAAAATATATAGTGTAAATTATTAAAATAGTAACAAGCAATTTTACACATAAAACACACTAACAAACTATATTGAGCTGTGTAGTATAAAGGAATTACTCTATAAGTTCAAGTAAAATCCTTCAGAACATGCTACTTCCTACTTAAACCTCAGTACTCTCACACATACAGATACCGGGTACGTGTCTGTCTGCTTGAATCAATATTTTGTAAGTAAGCTGGATGGTTGTGTTCTGACGTTTCTGCAGTCGTCACAGTCAACAATGTCATTAATTATCCTTCAGGAGGTTTCTTTCTTTTTATGGCCCAGAAAAGCAACAATCGGCTTTTCTAAATTTTTGGTTTCAAGTTTTGAATATTTCAAAGTTAATTTGTGTGGTTGAGTGTAAAAGTAAAAACAACTCTGATGCTTCTGTTTTCTTGGCTCTTGTCTTTTTATGCAATGACTAAAATAAATGGAAGAGAGGATGAGACTTAAGAAATGAAGATAAGAGTCCAACTTAAGAAAACTATTACGTTAGCTCATCTGACTGCATCTATAAAATGCTGCGTGTGTATGTGTGACCCATAACTACAGACACAGCAGCATCCATCACTACACGTTTGTACCTGTGATGGTTTAGTTGTCAGTTCTTCGTCTTTTGGGCAGACGGAGTCTCTCCGTGTTGAGAAACTGTTCGATTCTGGAGATCTGCGCTCTGAATGAGGCCTGTTGCTCTTCCCTCTCCTGAGAGAAGGACAGTTCACAGTGAGAGTCGGCAGCAGGAGCTGCAGCTGAGGAGGCAGCGCTGCTACACCTGGAGTGAGGGGAGATTAACATTAGCCGGGTTTTACACAGAAATGATATGATGACTTGTAATAATGGAGCTGAACATGAAGTATCACAGAACAAGCTTCATTTGTTATCTACTGTATAAAATGTGTTTTAAACCCATTTCTTTATGTTTTCCTTCAGCCAGTGACAAAAATCAAAGTCTATCAATGTGTTCATCACTTTTATTCTATATGAGAAAGGAGAGAGGATATATGAGTGAGTTGATGCTTTGCTTGCAAACCTAGAAATCATCATGAATTTATTTCTGAAAATGTTTATGGTAAATATATTTATTCTGGTTCACAGACAGGAGGACGCTCTTTCTGTACAAGGATGAACAGTGGGGGGGGGTCTTACCCTGGCATGGTCGGCCATGACAATCCACTGACTGTGCTGAGGGAGGTCGAGACTGGAAAAGGAGCGATCAACAGAAAAGCTCTGCTCTCCTACAGAAAAAATAATAAATAATAGAAGTCAAACATCTACAGCAAGAACAGACGCATTTGTTCCCGTGTTTAACCTAAAAAGAAAAAAGCATTTTCAAAAGCAAATTTAATTCTTGCTCAAGCCTCCTGAGGAAACTGAAATGTTCTAGTGAGAAGGACATTAACTGATAAACAAATGCAGGGCAGACAATAACCAGTGGCAAAGATATGTAACAAAATCCAGCCCAGAGAAAGTAGCCAGACCCAGGCTGAACTCTGTGTGACATTCCCACTGTTCACCGTCCACAGAAAACCAAGGCTTTGGCCTTCACTTCGATTTGTTAAACTATCAGAGCAAGTTTTCTTTTCCTCATACTCGACGCATGTTGCACTTTATCTCCCTCAATTGCCAGCACCTGGATCTTATAAAGCCCAGTGACAGTTTGTGGTGATGGTGACAAAGGAGGGAATGAGAGCGTGTGAGCGAGAGCGAGAGAAAAAGTGAAGCAGAGAATTTAAAAAATGAGAGAAAGAGGAGAGGGTGAGTGACAGACAGATGATGAAGTGAGAGAGGAAGAGCGAGGGTGAGGGGATGGATAAAGACTGAGTAAGTGAAAGAGGAGAGGCGTCATTAGGTCGATTTTCTTCCACAGGCCGTTCATTCTTCGTCGGTCTGCTCGTTCAACACACATCATCCTCTCACTCAACATGTGACTTAACATTTGTCAAAGTTCTTCGTGTCTAAAATAACACTGACATATTATGTGCATTGCATTCAATGTGTTGGTCTGAGCTAATATTAGCTCGCTCTCACATTCTGAGCTCAGCGTAATGTCTCGCCCTCATGAGGAGTTACAAGTCAGTTTGACGTAAAAGACACATTTGTAAAGCTTTAGCACAAATTTCCCCCGAGATCCACTGAGACACATTTTACAAGATGATGAAGCTCAGGAGCTGTGGAACAGAGATTGACCTAAAAGCCATTTATTTGATAGAGAATCTATTTTATAAAGGGTCACTCTAAATTCCTCGGAGGCAGATCGTACGTTTCTATGTGGACGTGGTCGTTTCCTGCCGTAGGTTAAGATTTTCACTGTGACGAAACCCGGACATGAACTTCAACTGTTCAAAAGTTGAGATCAGACAATTGGGACTCAGTAATACATCACAAGATAAGGAAATAATCAGTGTTTTATCTCTGTTGCCTTCACATTGTCTGATTAAAATCGTCTGTGTCTCTTGTAGATGTTGTTACCTTCACCAAGGAGATTGTTTTTACCCTTGTCCAATTGTTAGTCGGCTGGATTATGCAAAAGATGATTTAAAGAAATTTTGATGAAACTTGGTGGAAAGACGAGACACCGACAAAGAAAGAACATATAAAGCTTTTTTTCAAAGACGGTTTCTGTCATTGTTCCAAGTCTTCATGTTTCTGATAACTTTGGTTATTTGATGATATAAAAACAGGTGAAAATGTCTCGATTGATTGAGAGATTGATGAATTATAAGATTGATGAATGATCCCAGGATATAATTCATGGATCTTGATGAAAAATGATTTCAGTTTGTGAACAAGCTCTCCTGAGAGTGGATTCTTACTTCACCACAGGTTCTGTAACTGACCGTAGCTGCTGCCGCTGTCTCCTCCGAAGATTTCCACTCTCCCTGCTGCTGCCTCGCGGAGGAAGCTGCATTCCCAGAGACACTGGAGGCATTCAACAGATCCGACGCCCCGGTAATCACCGAGGGGACTGAGAGGAATGAGGTGAGATGGCAGGAAGAGCGAGAAGGTAAGGATGAGTGATTATTAGTGAGGGTGAGATCTACAGATGTACAGTGAGTTCACTATACATGAGGTTTCCAGTGAGGGCAACCGTTACACAACTGCATGTGTTGTTTTTTTAACTGAAGGGATCATACAACCTTTGCTGTGTTTGCTTTTGGGGAACATGGTTAATCTGCTGGGAAGATGTTTGAAGCGTCCACCAGACCCACTCTTATTCTGCTCAGATCCCTGAAAAGGAACCAATGTTTTCAAGACACACTGATTAAAAACCTGGAAGAAAGTAATGTTGTTCTTTTTTCATTTGCTAATTAAACTAGATAAATGGCAACAACACTAGAACTTGAACTAAGAAAATGAACATACATTTTTTAATGTATACACATATTTTCTGTATTATTAACTATGAAAAGTCCAATTTAATGGTTTGCAAAAATAGATTCAGCCAATATTTAAATTACTAACAGAGTTCTGCAAAATCTAATCTGATATTTTCAGTACTAACTTAAATTTTCATCTTTAAATCAGTTTATTTAGTTGAACGACTGAATTAAATCCTGAAATATGGTAAACAAGACAAATTAGACTGACATAAAAAAACCATTCATGCTACAATGCTCTCATGATGGCCTCTAAATGTCTTCTTGATTGTACTACCTGAGCAAACTGATGCAGGACTGAGACCAGATCAAATGTCGACCTGGGTCCAGTTGAGGGGACGGACGTCTTCAATTGAGTCCCACTTTTATTGGTCTTTTCATCTCCTGCGTCTTCTGGTTTGTCATTTTTCATTTGGTCCTGACCTTTGGCAGATTCAACGTCTTCAGTGTCCATCGTGATATCGACGTCCTTTAAATTAGGTTTCATCTGGATAATCTCACTGTCGCAGTTTTCTTGTGTCTCCACATTTGACTGACATTCGCTCTTCGCACCGGAATCATCTTCATCGGGTGTCAGAGACTTCTCTTGCCCCTTCTCTTGCTTTGGTTGTGGCTGTGGTTTGACAAACGTTCTCACTAATTCACATTCTTCACTCACGTGTTCGTGACTCGTTTCATGTGTTTGCTTCATGTCGCTGTTAATGCCAGAGGGATTATTCTGTACTGATTGCGCTGCAGTCGTCTCTAAGTCACTGATACTGAAAATAATGTCTGTTTGAGCAGCTGAGGGAAGCACAGCAGAGCTACAATCACTCAGAGGCTCAGCTGCTGATTTGTCCGCTGGCGTCTCCTCTGTGGTTTCCTCAGAGACTTGATGAATTTGATTTGGCAGCTGAGTGAGCGGCTCAGTTTGAATCTCAACTTGACAGACTTGAATGACGGATTTAGGCCCATGATCGACACTTGTTTGGACCTCATCATGACCGAGGGTGAAGAGAAACTGTCCTTTCTCTGTCCCACATCCCTCGTTCACATGGCTGGAGTCAGCGTCCTGCTCAGTGGATTCCTGACAGCGACTTTCTTTGCAGTGGGAGGGCTCACAGACAACCAGCGGTATCTCAGCGTCCATGAAGTCAACGACCTGCAGTTTGTTGCTCTTCTCCGAGGAGCAATCAGTGGTCGTCTGGGTCGGTATCTGTGTTGCTGTAGTCTGCTCTCCTGTCTTTTCTCTCTGCTCTACTCCGTCTGACCCCGGTCCCTCGTCTTTATCTCTTGTTTCACTTTCAGAGTTTCTGGTGTCCTCTGCTTCCTCCGCTGACCGCTGGCCATCCTCTCGTCTGTCTGCGGTACCTGTTGTTCCTCTCTTCTCTCCAGAACTCCCTTCCCCTTCTGAATCTTCTCCTTGGGCGTCTTCTCTATCCCGCTGCTGCTCTGTTACCTTTTCCTCCAATTTTTTGTCCTTTTCTTGTCCCTCATCATCCTTCTTTCCATGTCTTCCCTCATTCAGTCCCGTGTTCCCCACTTCCTCGTCCTCATTTCTGTCTCTGCTCAGGAAACCTAGAGGCCCTTTGATGAACCCATGGTCAGGCTCTGATAGGGACGTAGTGTCACTCACACAGAGACCTTTGCTAATCACGAGATCGTCGCCAGACACAGAGGAAGGCATAAGAATTGAAGTTGTTATGTACTCGTTTGATATATTGATGTCATTGCTTGTTGTTCCAGAATGACTGCAGGAGCTGGAGAGGTTGGTGGTGATATGTGGATGTATAAACAGATCTGGAGAGTTCAGAGCTTCTTGTCCTGTGAGAAAACACAATGTACACTTTGAGAAAATAAAACTTCTTCCTGCTGCTTGTTAAATTACAGTATATGGGTGATAAAGACGTCACAGCTGCAGAGTAGAGTGTCAATGAATAGCTTGTGTATTCTGTATAAAATATTTGTATCTACTTTAACCACAATTATCCAAGATGCCTTTTGTGGCTTTTATTAATACTTAAAGCAAAACGTAAAAGATCAACATCATAGATGAGCCCTACTCCCGTCTTTGTCTATAACCCATCAAACAAACTGAACAGATGAAAAGAGAAACCACTGAAGTTATAGTAAAACACATATCTGCAGCCTAAATAAACATTTACAAACAAGAGCTGATCAACTTTGGCTCCGACATCTACTGTGTGTTTATTTGTAGCTGGCTGACCTCCAGTTGCTCCAGTGGCAACAAGCTTCTCAACAGCTCCTGTTGGTTTTTTAGTCTGAGAGGAGGCCGAGTGCTGCAGGCTGCAGACGCTCAGCAGCTCATCGCTGGGTTCGATAGGAAGGACGACCTGGGCTGAAACACTGAGGCGGCTCCGACTGTGGTTTCTCGTCTTGGTAGAGAAAAAAACCCCATCACCAATTCACTCACTCATTCATTTTGGTTCATATTTACTCTCGTGAAAAAGTACAAGAAGTTCATTTTAGTCTTTCAGCTTTGTCTTTGTATGCATACATGTATCTGTGATGACAATGTCTGGTGTGTGTGTGTGTGTGTACCTCTAATTCCAATATGTGCCGTGCCTGTTCTTTGGCCAGTGAAGACACATCAGTGTGTTTCTTATGAAGCTCGTCGTAGGCTTCCTTCACTGATCGAAGGTCTTGCTGTTCACTCTTGATGCCGTCCAGAATCATTTTCTTCTGTTTAACACAGACATCAATAGATGCACAGCTTAGATGTTTCACTGTGACAAACAATTCATCACGTTTCCTGACATGACGTATTTAACTCGTCCGATGGTTTAGTGACATTTCAAACGACAGCTTCTCCTCTACCTCTTTGTCCCAGCTCGTCATGGAAGCAGCGTGGCACTCCATCAGTTGGGCCACCTTATCTTCCATCGCCTTGCTTTTGTCTCGCATCACTTCCTGTTCCTGCTTAAGGGCCTGCAGTAAAATTAATCACCCATGGGATTTTTAATGCAATACTAAATTTTTATGTGTTTATTTAACGTGAACAGAGGGTCTTAAACAGGGCAGGGAGAGAGAGGGCTTCTTGCTAATACAAATCAGTTGGCTTGTGACATTTTAATCCTGATTTTAATAATTTAATGAATGAATGGGTGAATTAAAAAGGAGAAGGGGGTACAGAGAGAAGAAAAGAGAATAATAAACTGTAAAGTCATAAATGGGGAATAAACACACTAACTATCATTCAGTTACGGAGGGGACCATATTCACTAATGTCCACATTCACAGATGTACATGTCGTGATATCACATCCATCACATTTATGAGAAGAAACGATGGCCGTCTTTTATTTCCGTCCTTGTGTAAATTCTCTCCATAATCATTTAAATGGACCCTGAAAAATCCCTTGTGGTTTCAGATTCTGTAGGTGGTGCACGGACTTGCCTGGAGAGAGACAACCCATAACCGTTTAAATCCATCAGTTAAAAAATAGACACTGGTGGATATAAACCAAACAAAGTTAAAAAAAGAGGGACAAGTCAAAAGTGACACCTCTGAGTTTAGAGCAGTTTGCCGAGAAACGGTTGTTTTTATTTCTTCCAGCACAAAATCCACACACGACTGTTTATGACTGTTCAGGTTTTAGTTCCACTTAAGTTTCTGTTGTTGTGTTTTCTTCTTTTGATTTCGTATTTTCAATTAAGATTCAGTTAATAAATCTCGACAAATAAATGCTGATTCATGCTCTTTACATCCTCATTTCTAAAAAATATATCGTTTATATATTTATATACTAATGTGTACAAATCAGAATAGGATGAGGAAGTCTGGTACCTGGCACTGTTCTTGTTGTGTCTGCAGCTCCATCTCTACTCTGGTCACTGTCTGTGTCTGACTCAACAGAAGCTGCTGGTTATGTTGTAATGACATCACCAGCTCCTAAACAATAAAATGTAAATAACCACAAAGGATACTACAGACTACATCAAAGTTACAGGACCAACCAGGTTTGCTTTCATCTTACAGTAAATTATTAACATTAGAATCATTAAAAAAAGAAATACATTCGTCTTCCAGTGCAAAGAAGTAATTTTCAGTGTTACTTTACAAATGTATTACTATTACAAAACATATACTATGAACGATATAAACAATATTGGTCACATGTGGTTTCCTTGTTTTTATTTACCTGCTTCTCTGCTCTTACAGCAACATTCTCCTCCTCCAGCTTCTTGTTCTTTTCAGTTTCCTAAACATGTGACAGAAGCGCAGAAAACAATTATGTTGATGTGACGGCTCCAGTAACAATGACTGTTGGAAGCTGGCAGATAGAACATGTGACATCAAAATACAGTATATATTCACTGGTCGTCATGTACCGTGCTCAGTTTCTGGTGCAGTCTCTCTACGTGCTGCTCTTTGCCCGTTTGGCCGTGGTGGAACTTGTCATGTGTGACTGACATCATCTTGGTTTTAATCAGCTTGTTATTCACCTGCTCCAACCTCTGAGAAAACAAGACACTGAAAAACGTTTCTAAAGTACAAAGCTATGTGGCACGTGCAGAGCTGAAAGGGCGCCGTCATGGCGACACAAGGTCAGGACGCAGGACTCCTGTTCATGTGGCTGCAGGACATTTGCAGGTTTACTGTACCTTCTTCAGTGACGCGATGTTTGCTTCTTGTTTTTCATTTGCAGAAGTTAGTTTCTTATTGATTCTCATGGCCTCATCAACTGCAAAGGATGCACATGGTAAGGTACTTTCATTTATAATATACGAATATAATAATAACAACATAATCCATCCATCTGTTACCATTTTGCTCGAGTGTCTCGTGGGCCTTCTTGACCGTGGCACACTGCTTGGACAGGGCACTGAAGCGTTTCTCCACCTCCCCCAGCTGGTTCAGGTGACTGTCCTTCGACCTGCTCTGCAAGGCCAGTTTCTGTTCCTGTGGAATGGGTAATGTTTTGTAATGAGATTACTTGTGCAGTATATAGTGACAATTGTTATAACCTTCTTCTACTAGATGAAAATGTGATTTGTGTTTGTTTTAGACGTGTTTCTCTATTCCTCCACACAATAGATAATGTGCGGAACGATGAGGGAACAATGCATCACATGCAAAATTACTCAAAGTATGATTTAAAGATTATTTATGTGTGGTTTCCAACTTCATTTATTATCAATAGCGTGCGTTCTTTATTTTCATTTTAAATCAGAGGTGCTGGCATACGTTCGTATTCTGACTCTAAGCAGAAGAATAGTCGCTGGTTATCCCTTCTTCTGGTCTTTATCGTAAGCTAAGCTCACTAGCGGCTGTCTGTCAAATGTTCCATGTGGGTTGCTCAGTTTAAAGACTTCCACAACACAAGAGGAGGCAGAAGGCAGAGGCACAGTTTGTCCGACACTGAATACGACAGTGGAAACAGCTGTCAGGTGATTGAGGACCCTGCTTTAACACAGCGAGCATCCGTCTCTTTCAGTGGGATGAAGGGTATCAACTCAGCTCATGCCTCAGAGCTTTTTATCGCTCCTCAAACTGTCATTACAGTTTGATTGTCTGTATCAAGCTGATCAGATTCTTTTCCCACTCACTCATTTCACTCTCATTCTCACTCCCTCCGTTCCTCCTCTACAACACAGCAGCGCTCGCCCACTCCCTCATTCTGCGGAGCCACTGTTATGAGAAGAAGGTTAAACCGAGCGAGGCTCAGTTATAAAATATTTTAATAGAGATATTTTCTCTGCTGTGCTGGCAGTTCAAAGTGTCACACACTCCCTATCTGTTACTCCTGATGAGCTCTTCCCTCCGAACCCATTCCTCCTTAGCACCATTCCCTCATCCTCCTCTTTAAATTCTCCTCACTCCCACCAAACCTCTGTCAACAGTTTGTGTAAGTGGAAGATGCTTCCTCACCAGCTCCTTTGATTTCTTCTCCAAGTTGAACTTCAGCAACTGTAAAAGAGCAGTAAAAGAAAATCAAAAAAGATAAAGGTTTTCTGTTCCGGTTAGCAGTGCATTGTGGGTTATAGTGTGTGAATTAGTGTTTCTGCACATTCACCCAAGATGCATCATATTTATGTTCAGCACATGCAAATAACAATTAATTAAAATGATCAATTGTTGAGTTCAAATCAGATTTTCAGTCATTTATGATAAAAAAACATAAAACATGAAAGTAATTCAGGGTTTAAATATATATATATATTAAATACAATGAAATAATTTATATTATAGTAAATATTTCTATGATATTTATTATTTATATAAACACCTTTAAAACATACATTATCATGATCATATTTACTGTTAGTTGATTTCTTAAACTAACCCAAACATCTTGAGAAAACAAGAACAGAATAATCATCAAATTCAAACGATGGAAAGGTTGAAATGTTTAATTTGTTGAAATTAATTTTATTACTTATTAAAACCCAGAGGAGAGAGGATCTCAGATAGAACCTTTAAGTCGTTGTAAGGTGGGAATTACTTTTTATATGTTTAGTTTTAGTTGAATATTTGACGATTTCTTCTGATGATAAATGAAATAAAAACAACTCAATAAAGGAAATGTGATTTCCCCGTATGCAGCCAGTGATGGAGGTTGTCAATGCTTTGTATAATGCACATTATAAAGGGATCAGGTTAAATATCTTATATGTGCAATCCTGTTCACAGTCTATATATTCAGTTTAAAACATATGTAATGTTGCTGTTTTTAATCTTTCCTTGCTGTTTATATTTGCTTACATATTTATTTAGCTTATCTCATTTCATCTAATCTTGTCTAATCCTGTTAACAAAGACAATAAATTATGTGAGAGCAGGAGACACCGCAGCATCTTGTTAATTTTAGGATCGAAAGACAACCCTCTTAAAAATATAGCCTTAATTATCAATACATGTTCTGGTTATTTCTCCGCCCGGTTATTTATTAACTAACTGCAATGATGGATTATTTGGATTTCATTATGGATTAATTGAACCATACTGTTCCAATGGAGCTCAAATTTGCAATTTAGCAGTTCATCAATTAAATCACTTCAGCCCAACTGCCACGGATGGGAAAATGTGTTAAATTAAAGAAGTCCACCAGACCGTGTCACAAGAATGGACACAAGCGGGCCTCACTTTAGCCACAGCCTGTGTCTCCCGGATAGAATATCAAAAACAGTCTCTATTGTCTCTGTAACACGGCTGGGCTGTTAAAGTGCGCTGGACCATGGGGACGGCCGTATATCACCTCTGGGGTGTCAGGCCTGAAGACGAACACTCTGGGAGCCAGACTGGGTCAGGCCTATGCATCAAAACCCGACGTACCAGAGTCAGGTTGGACATGACCTTTCTTTATGTCATCAAACACGCTGGACTGCTCGATGATAAAAATCAGTTTTTACGGATTTTAAAGAAGAAAGAAGGTATGCATGTGTGTGTGTGTGTGTGTCTTTCATAGGATACCTCAAGGGACAGATTTCAAACTAAAGAACAATTCATTGAGGACAGTTTTTGTCCAATTGAAGATGAAAGTCACGTCACCGATTGGGAAAAAAGATTTTTGTATAAATGGTTAAATTCTTGGGGTTCAGCAAGTTGTGGTTACACATGGACTGAGGATTAAGAACTATCGTGGTTGTAATGATTAGATTAAAATAACTGAGTTCATTTGGAAAGTAGTGGGCAACAGCAGGTGAAAGCTTTTGTTAGCATCTGTGAATGAGACACGTGACGATTTCCTGCACGCGGCACGTTTCATTGTAAAATCAGGTCGTTAAAAAAATCACTGAATGAATCACACAGTTGTTCATTTCGTGCCACATAGACGGAGAGAAGAGTTTGCAAGTGTTGTACATCTCAGTACCTGCAGCGACCTCAGTTCTTCTTTTAAGTTGTTAATCTCTTTGTCCTTTAACTCAGCACTGACCTGGTATTTCCCCTGAAATGTTATATGATGAGTGACAAACGAAAAGCAATAAATACTCAAGCACAGCACAGAGGAATCCGTTCCAAGGGTCAAGATTGTGCAACTGAGATGAGTGAATTTACTACTCCACTAAAAACATGAACTGAATAAAATGCTCCGAGTATCACGTTGACATTTTTTTGGAGGAGGGAAAAACTCTTCATACCTTCTCCTCCTCAATGTTTCTGATTTTGGCCTGAAACTTGAGGAGAGAAAATAAAATGAACAAAAGGTTTTGATGGATTGTACAACGTCCTGTTTAGACATAAATATAAAAACATACCTGCTTCTTCACACTGGTGAGTGACTCTGTGTGCTGATTCACGACTGTTTCAATTTGATGTTGGAGGGATTCCTGTCATACAGAAAAAGGGAAAATCAATCAAAACAATTTAATGATCTTGTGTTGACGATATTTCATGAATAAGGACAAAAATTTTAAGATAAAATAAATTAAAGATGCTGTAAACACAAGAACGTTGAGTCATACCCTCTCCCACTCCAGCTCCTGTTTCTCCAGCACCAGTTTACCGATGTGATCCTCAAAGTGCGTCTCTGCATCCTGCACCATGGAAACACCTCATTAACCGTTTACCTAACAAACCTCATCCACAGACGGAGTGTGTACAAAGATGGAGGACATGACGGCTCAAATCGTCTGGATCACAAACAGAACAATCCAATTACACGTGAACTTCTTTGTCTCAATGATGGTTTCTGTCATTTTCAGAAGTTCTCATCACACTGATTCAAGTGTTCATGTTTTTCGTTATTTGATGCTATAAAAATTGCCATAACAGCACGATTGACAGCTGAGAATGATTCCCGATTGGTGGTGTACGTGTGTCGACGGGACTTCAGCACTGTGCCGGATCAAAATCAAGATGGCAGCGTTGGATATTTTGGCTTTATTTCTGAACAGTGAGATCGTCATTTACAGTAAGTGAGAAAGACCAGTAACAGACAAATAACAACATTTGTCCAAAGAGCATTTCACAATCAAAGGACAGACGAGGAGACGACAACTGATAAATAAAATAACAACACAGTAAATGAATGCATGATACAGACTAAAACTCCATTATATCTTCCACTCCATGGGCGGATTACTGTCTTTTTTCCAAAACTGCAAACGGCTTTAAGTTTCCGTGGTTCTTTCCTGCGTATCTTCTGAAGAAGCACCCAGAGAAAAGAGGAACATTAGAAGGGAGGTGATATTTATGGAAAGTCATCCCTATCCTCCCTCTTCCCTCGGAGAAGGCAGGTAAAAGTCAATTGCTCTCTATATCCACAGGACTTTTTTATGTGCATGTGGGAGCTGGTTAACTCACTGAGTTGATTTTATAAGTTCCTATTAAACTATGCTACCAGCGTGGCACTGCACTTAAAAGAAAGGAGTGCACAGGAGATAAAGCTGTTACTTTTCCACAGAGGAATAATTAGTGTGTGAGTTTTTGTGTGTGTACTAGTTTTTATAACCTGGTGTGGAATATAAGTGAACATGCGGGGACGTGAGTCGCTCGTGGGGCCAAAATTGAGGTCCCTCAACATGCAGAACATAGACTGTACACAAAGATGGATGATGCGTCTCCACTTCATTCCAACTTCTAGATATGAAGCCCAAATATCCCAGATACCAACACTCTATGACGTCATTTGGAGACGGAGATTGTGCAGCCGTGAGATAGAGATATTGGCCGTGGTATCGAGGTTCCACCAACACAAGTAAATAAGAACTACCTAAGATGACAAACATAATCTGACAATAATTTAATTGACGTGTATTTTGTCCATGTCCCATCTATTGAAATATGGGGGGCAGGGATGACCTATACTACAATTAGCCACCAGGGGCAATCAGGAAGCTTTGTCTTCACTTTGAGGGAGCTGACATGTCGTCCATCTGCATCTACAGTCTACGGTCCAGACTGATGCTGACGCCATTAAGTTTTGTTCTTAAGGTTCAGGTTGTTTATTATTGTTCATTATGTAAATGAGTTGTCCACACAGAGTATTTACAAAGTCCACAAAAACTTTATAAAACCTGGAAACCCATGTAAATAAAAACAGGATGCTGTACTTTAACTGAAGGTTAGATTTTGCTTTTACTTATCTAATCATATATTTGTCATTGCTGTTCGTGTCTTCACTGTTCTGAGTGGATGCATTTTATGGGGCATTTAAAAAGGAAAAAAAAAAGTCTCTGGGAGTTGGATAAAGTTTACACAGTTTATCCCACTGCACTCATTCTTGTGTTTCTACATTCAGGGTTAATTCCACCAGTACAACACAGTATCACAGACTAAAGCAGTGGGCTGTACCGTATTAAAAAAAACAACAAAAAAAACCCCAGAAAAAAAGCTGTTGGAATTTGACCTGCTCAGGAATGTCCGGCACCATCATGACATCCTCCTGCTTCTTAACCTCTGCGCCCAGTGAACAACACAACTACAAAAAGCTGCTCTGATAACAGCCTGAGGAGGATCACACTGATGTGCCGTCTAACGTTTGTATCCCAGTTAACACGGCTATAACAATAAAAAGTAAATGACAACAAACGACCAGCTTCCCATTTTTGCTCCTCTAACCTTTAAGCACACTCTGGACGTGTTGTCAGGTTGGAAGTACTCGCTGGAGGCAACAAACCATTATTTGTTTTACTTTTACAAACAGTTTTACTTTCTACTTATTGGTCAGGGGCCAAATGGCTGGTGTGTCCCCCATCTTGATGCAATGTGCTTCAAACCCAGCTGGCTCTTGTCCAGATTGCTAAAAAGGGGCAGCTGGTTTCCTCTAAGGACACAAACCAACTCCTCGATCACGTCTATTCAATTATTCTGCTCTTTAGCCAAATGTCTAACCCTAACCCTCTGTACTCTTCTACTCTATGAATAAGGATGTGACGCAGGTACACGGACAGTAAAAAAAAAATAGAGCTACCTTCTATATTCAGTACAGTTAAATCTTTAGATTGGTGGGTCTGAGAGATTTTAAATGGTTTCTGAAATACAATTATTAAATTTTAAACTTTTTTCTTCTGAATTGGTAGATTATATTACTTGAGGTTTAAGATTGTGATATAAGACTACGTATAAAACAGTCTGACACCTGTTAACACATTAGGTGCAAACCCCAGAGACATTCACAATAATAGTACTTTACTTTTAATACTTTATTTTTTCCCCCAACATTCTAGAAATATAAATAGCCACACACACACACAGAAATTATAAAAGTATACCTTCCGAATATGCAGCTCCTCTACAGCTTCAAGTAGATGAGTTTTAAATTCCAACAGCTGTAGTAAGATGGGGCCTCCGCTTTCTCTTTGACAGGAGGCGCTAGACAGAGACAGGCTCTGCTCCAACGCAAACTCTTCTACCTGAACATGAAAATATATAAAATTAATACTTCTTATTAAGCTACTTCAAAATATTTACCAAAATGCAGAGGATAGTATATGTCAAATGACTAAGATGTTAATTTCTCCCAGCATTCAACAGGAAAGAGTTAACAGCCTAAATTCAAAGTAAACAGTTGATATAAATATGTGATTTTTCACCTTAGTAATGTAACTTAAACATTATAGTATATTCATCAATGTGATTACTGACACACGTGTTCTGCTGTGAAAAAGGTCTATTATTTGTATTGAAAACGATTTTAATCTAATCCTGACATGTATAAACAGATAAACTGATGTTATTCACTCTGTCTTCTAACATGAGGAGTTGTAACCTACAGCTGAGTGTGGAGTGAGCGTCCCAGAATCTGCACTACGATCCATCGGGTTGTTTCAGGCCAAGGTCCCACTGAACTTCTTCTTCCTCCTTAACAACACAAAAACACATTGTTGAAAAAGGTTAATAGAATACGCTGTTTAATAAGCAGTGACACTCTGCCTCTCCACTTACACGCTTATAATTACGTTCCTCATCTGCAATTTTTCCTGATAAATGAATTTATTAGAATTAATAGGCTGGCACATTAAAGCCTCGTAATGTTTCTCAATCACTGCAGTCTCACCTAACGGCTTTGAAATGACCATTAGGGTTTTTTCTTTCTTTGTTTTACACCGCTTCCACTGCAGAGGGAAGATTACACCTTGATAAGCCATCTAGGTTCAAATGAACCAGCCCATTGACACTAATAGGGGTCAGAGCAATAACACTGACTGAACAAATTGCGCTGTCAATGCTTTTTAAATTATCTAGGTTATTTAATTTGACCTGTGGATGGTCCTCTTCAACTGTCTCCGTCCCCTCAACATAACCAAGAGACTGACTGACACACACACTGCAGACACGCAAACACACACCTACTAGAAAATATGACTATTTAAGTGGGAGGTCTCCACTAGCCACTGATCTCTTAATAGAACAGACCTTTTTTCTCCCATTTAACCTGCGCTGGTATCAATCATGTAGGAGAATTAAATGATCCCTGCCAGAATTGGCTACTATCATAAAATGACACTGTGACCCCAGGCAGAGGAGGAAGCGTGCAAACGTGTGTTAGTGTGTCAAAGTGATGATGCACGTGCGTCCTCTGTGCACAGTGTGAATGTGTGTGTGTGTGTGTGTGTTTGACTCCGAGTGCGGGAGGAAACCACAATGTCTTTATTTGCTTCTCCTGTGATTCAGTTGAGCAGGTATTAACCACCGTCTCTAAGCCATGAAAAGACAAATTAAAAGAGCTGCCATCCATAAAATGGGAAAGCTTCTATCAAACAGCACGATGTCTGTATTACCTTCGGGTGAGTTATGTTGGTAACTGTGTAGTGCACGGAGGAAATAAAGTTGGAACAAAGCGCTGGGAATGTACTACATGTAATTACAGTGCAGCCAATAACAACACAATATTAAACTACTACAGAAAGTGGACTTCAATAGCTGTTTTTACATTTAGTCATGACCCAGCATGAAAAGCACAGGTGTAAATAATAAAATCCTGCTTTGAAACAATAAAAGTCCACTTTACTTTGACGGCGGTGGTGCTGTGCATGTTGGCACGCTGTCCGACCGAGACACTTGAGTGGAACAGAGCCCTTGTTAAATGTTATTAGTAACACCTGTGCTTTTCCTTCTCTAAAAAGCCAACATGTCTTTTACACGACACACTGGAGTCTCATCATGTTAGAGGCTTTTTCACCATTTATCAGGAAAGACGCTTTATTAATCCAAAGCAGCTTTTAAATCCAGTTTTTATTCAGTGCCTAGCCAAACTATTTTACAAAATCTACAGTCCCCCCCGTCATTGTATTTTGTTTTATTGTTTATTGTTTCATTTCAGATATTTTTATCAATTTTATTTGAATTACTCCTTTAACTTATTTATAAATGTTATGCAGATTTAATTCTTTTTGTATTATTATTGTTATATCAGTCTATATATGTATACGTTTATTTCAATACCTCATACATATTGCACAAATACAGTAGATTAATCAATTCATAATTTCCACTCCAAACAAACGG